TATTTCTAGCACTTAAACTACTGAAGATGCACAGAATTCAGTGAATCCTCGTTGTGGGTCTAATAAGAAAACAATTTTCCCGTCAATCCATCCCGAGGTTACAACATGGATTTTTGGGTTTTCATTTGCGGCATGCGGGTATTGAGTTTGCTGTTCCCGAGGTCTGATCCTCATGTGTTTTTCTTTCGTCGCTCAACGGAGGCTGTCATTTCCGTGACTGTTTAATGGGCTGGTCCTCAGATTAATACTCGATATTCATATACATTGCACATCCTTCCATTAGTGATAATAACGGTGTTTCTAGCAAATACTTCTTGCAGAGTACAAACTTGATGTGGGTAGACCCCGGAGCCACGGGAATTGGGGTTTTTACGAAAGTTCGCTTCAGCACCATGCTCGATATTGAGTCAAGTGGTATAAAGTAAAGGTGGAGTGAGTGGGTCCATGGAAACGTCAAATACTTGAATATGAAATTCTACAAATGAAGAAGAAATATGCATCATTTATGTAATCAGTTGGAACAAACAAGCCCTGCGCACAAGTTGATCCATGCATGACTTCTGAGACTGCATACACACAGACACTTCTTGAAATCCTCTCACATCACAATCTCTTTGGCCGCACTATTTGTGCTGTGATTTGTTTTCTGTTTAGCTACAATCTTTCCTATCTAGTGTTTTAGCTACACAGTATTCGCTTTGGGCACATCTAGTCAGATGGAATAACTTATGGCGCTAAGCCAAATAAGACGGTGTCGGACCAAATTTGTTTATCAGTTACTCGTGTATTGTCCAACACTCACTTCACTTAGTTATGACAGTGAAGCGTCAGAGTTTTGTTGGTAGGAATAGAGCTTTCATCATTGTTTTGCTTAAAACTGTGCACAAATGATTTGTTTGGTCTCTATAGTTCGTTGGTGATACCACACAGTCATTTGATTAGTTCTTCTACATCAAAGGTATACCACACGAACAACATCAGGATGGCTTTAAAGTCATCAGATTGAAAATACGAGACTTATTTGGAAGAATTTGGTTTGGATGGATTGCAGGTGATTGGCGGGGAGCGCTCGGATCATCTTATTCCCGTGCCGCTCAGCAGTGCGCCCACCGACCAAGCTGTAAGAGGCTGTGTGCACACCATAGAGTGTGTTTGAGCGTCGAGCCGCCGCATTGTAATAGTTGAAATGATCACCCATTTGAAGCCATGTGTGATGTGTGTTTGGAATAGAACCCAGTTCGTCCGAACGCGCATATTGGCACAGGGCTAGCGTTTTGAGTATAGATTGCGCGCTGTAGTCTGCTGAGGTTATCGCACAGGTACCTTCTGCGACTACGGTGATGTGTGTGGTCGTGGAGCCGTTTTCTTGGACAAAATATAGGCAATCAAAGTGGCGGAGAATTTGCTGAAAGTTACACCAGTCGCGAATTATTTGAAAAATTTCATCCTTTCTCTGAAATCTGGCATAATTGTGGAAGTAGTGACGCCTTTTCAGTAACTATTTGATTTTATGGGACTGTTCTCAGTTGACGCGCCCTTTGTTATCTCGTCTTTTTACGAAGTTCACCTATACAAATGTCGATGTGATTCAGCAATTTACAATCCTACATTATTCATGCTTCATTTCTAACCTCCAGGATAGTGTATAAAGAAATCAAGAATTGAGATCATCAAGAATTTGAAGAATTTCCACCTTTTTCCTGACCTCGCTCACGGATTTCGGGAGTAGGTACAAGGGGGTTGATACAGTAGATTGGGACTATAAAGACTATGACAACATCCTCCTTTCAAAGCTGTTTTTGTTGTCGTTCTCTGTGTTCAAGTTCATGAAAAAACACCTCCTACAAGTCAGTAGGGACGAACATTTTTTCTGGGCTAACGTTGAGCCACACGACAGTTGTGGACAGATATTCCAAGCGTTATTATTTCTTTTTTTATCGATTAAATTTGGTTTTCCCCTTGAATCACGCACCCACTCAATAGTTGGGTGGTCTTGAGTAGTATTGAAGGACTAGTACCCTGTGTAGAACAGGCATCAAACAATTGTCACATATT